CACTTAGTTGTTCAAGACCTACAGTTATGACGTAAATGACATGATATGATTGATAAACTAGACATGTGTGTAACCAATGTGTTAGTGTATGGTCGGTGCCATCACTGTCATCTTAGCAGTTCCTTAGCTGTTCCAAGGGAGTTGGATTACCGATACTAAGATGCTCATAGCTGCCAGGGCTGTTCGACTGCTAACTGACAATTACGTGATATATGTTACACGACAGTTACATGACAGTTAGACAATCCTACTACCCTATTTGTTTTTATAAAATAAATTTCAGAAATATCGAAAGAGGATTTTTTTCATTTTTTGGTGTAATTCCAGCAATCAATGGTGGGGAGTCGAGATTTGCATGCTTAATGGAATAGACATTTAAAGCTGAACCCCAATGACTGGTTGATGTTAATGAAAGCTGTAGAACAGCTATTATGATAACCACTCAGTTCTTAGCTTTCTATGTACCTTACTTAACTGTCTTAGCATGCAATATTAATTTATACTTTTCTACAGGACTGCGTGTTCAGTGAGTGTGTTCGTATTTGCTCAGTATATGGCATATAATATACATCATAATTTAAGGACACCAGACGACGTGACCATAGCACAAGATATGAATGTGATAAATTAATGTTTGTAAGTTCTATGTAGTAGAACTGTTTATCTACTGTATTAAAGCATGGAGCTAAAAAAAGAAGGAGATCGAACAGATTGTAATCCTACTTGAGTCCTTTGTTTTAAGCTGTTTATTGTTCGCGTTTGCCTTTCATCTCCGTGATCGCGGCCGGCGTTAAACAATGAATAATTAATGAGCGTCCTCCTCGCATCAGTGACCTGAACTTTGAGAGCTGCGCAGTTGGTGCCGAAGTTCACCAAACATGCGCGATTTTCAATTTTAAGTTTTTCAGCAACCATGTTGGATGGTGACGTTCGAATCATGGAAATCGCAAATTTTAGCTCCATGATTAAAGTCACCAAGTAAATACATATAAGCATCGGTACCAGTGACAACTGTTAATTTATTTTTCAAAATTGATAGGAAACTATCTTTCTTGCAATTAGGTGGTGTATATAAAATAGATTATTGGGTCGGCGATGACTCTGTAGTAAACTTTTTCGCTATTATTTCCTCTTCAACAATTTTAAATATTCAAAAGCAGAAAATATCCTAGTTGTTTTGGTGCAAATATTTATGCTATCCCACTTTTTGTAAGGTCTTCATGTGTTTGGTAACATGAAAGAATAATACTGTTATTCATCTTGAGTAATGAAGCAAGAAAAAAAAGATTGAACCGTTGTGTCAACATGTCTGGCGTTTTGTACTAGATCGAGTATTAACCGTTAATGAGGCTTGGCCTATTCTACGTTTTTGCAGGTCAATGCTCTGATCCGGGTGTCCCTGATGATGGTTACGTCATATCGCCCGTCAGTCCCATATTTCCAATGGAAAGTGGTAATTTTCTGCAATTTGAGTGTGATGTTGGATATACATTGTATACATTTGACGTCATAACATGTGACGGGGTAATATGGGACAATCACCTACCTCTATGTACAAGTAAGTTACCTTGTCACTATTTATTCGTATGTTCATTTCGTAATTTTATTTAACAGTAAACTATTGATGTTCAATGATCGTTCGTAGAAGAATATATGTCTAAACTGAAACAAATTAGAAACTATTTACAAAATTAACAACTTTATAGTAATATTAATTCGCGACAACTGTACACGGTGAACAATGGTATCTGGACGAATTTCATCAATAAAAGCTGCATGTTATTCACGCGATGCTAAGAACAATTTTACTACAATGTTGTTTTTAGAATATTACCACAGGTTAGTTGTTTTATATTGTTGTCGGCAGATTTGACCAACGTTGGTTTAGGGAGAACGACTACAAATCAAAGCAGTTACCTCTACTCGGGCGCAACAGCAAACAGTGCCTTAGACGGAAACTACGATTCCAACACCCAAAGTCTGGAGGAAACCTCCCCGTGGTGGTATGTGGATTTGGAAGATTCATATGGTGTAAGGAAGGTGTTGATTGGATTCAAATCTCTCAATTGGATATGTGAGTTTCATTTAACAATATATTATCCTGTGACGCGTTAGGATTTGTCAAATGGTGTACTGTTGCCTACAACAGAAACATACATCTTATTTCTCACTTTCTAAAATAAGACCTATATTGCGTAAATATCTAAATTGATATGAGCTACTGCCGAACTCAATATTTCTGTGTATAGTATGTTCTGTTCTCATGATAATATTTTCATCATTTTCGTTTTATTTGTTGTAAATAAACCCAGCATGACCTTTTCAGCTGTCTTCCGATGGGAGCAAAATATTTGTTTAGAATAGAATATCCAATCATTATTGATTGTTTTAGTAAAAACTGCCCAAGTGACCAGATACCGAAAATTATTAGAGGACTGTCAATATGACGCATAAACCCATAACCACAATTACCAGCCAAAAACATTGGCAGGTGCTCGGGGTTTTACTCTATTCCCCATGCCACGTGTGTAACAAACAGATGTCACGCGGTTAAAACTGTGATTCATTTTTTTATTATACAGCAAAAATCAGCGCAGTACCACAATTGCGTAATTACACAGTTTGTATTTTTAATTGAATGAACAGAAATAATGTCAAGATGTAACAAACACTGATTAAAGAAAGTAAGAGACAGTGTAGGGATGTTTAAAACAAACAATTCGATAAATCAGTAAATCACCAAACGAAACAAAATTTAACATGTTGCTCTATGTGTTGCATCAATGTATACATTAGCTTATAAGGGAGTTTTAGCTCTGAGGGTCTCTAAAACTATATGCCCACCGCTGTTGTGGTGTACATTTGTATTATTATACCGAATAAATCTATTAAAAACAGAAATTGTGGCACTCAATCATGAAAAACTTAAGTTCACGCTTGTAGATCTGAATGCGTGTATGAACACAAATATACAAGTTGAAGGAGTTCAAGAGCAGTGATTGAATTCTATTAAGTTTTATCATGGACGCCTTTTTACTTTTTACTTTCATGGTAGTTTTGATGAACTCAATTTCAACAGCTTCAGCCTGACGAAGAATTGATTTTTGCAACAACATCCAGCGCCATCCTGTGCGCAGCTATATGCTACATTGCGTTCCGATTCGCATTACGTGTAGAACACTGAAACGAGCTGCACATGGAGCTGCACACTGCTTGAGTGTAGTTTAAATACACTGTACATAATATGTCAATATACTGTCAAAACACACAAAATAAGTAACAAAACAAAACGATGCCGTCACACGGCAAAGCCCACGACTCTCGGATTATTTAGGTTGACGAACTACGCAATCGCAGATTAAATGTCTCAAAGCGCGTAGCTGAGCGCGCTGGCGTACGCACGAGAAGCTTGACTAAAAATCACGCGAAATTGCTACAAAATCCTATTTTTTTTCTTTCCAATAAGATAGTCAAATAGTGAACGTGACCCAGTTCACGAACATTGCCGCGTATCGTGCTTCCCTGACAAGTTATCAGCGTAAATCAGGTAAATTGAGGAGGATGGTACTCGGATGGTACAATTATGGCAAGACAATGTTAACCTCTAATACGGTAATCTGATTGGCTGTCATGGTCATGAGGTATAATAGTGGGTAATGAACTCAGTGGCGGCACAGGGGGCAGAGGGGCCGTCGCCCTCTGGAAAAATGTTGGGGGCGTCGCCTCTCCAAAATCAAGCTTGAATCCTTTGTGTCAGCAAAATTTGCCCCTCAAATGCAGGAAATAGAGTTCAGAAGGTCTGTATTTCAAAATTGTTGAGGGGAACCATGCCCTGGACGCCCCAATAAGGTCGCGCCTTCGGCGCCAGGTTGGTGATCAGACCCCCCCCCCCTCCATGCAAAATTTCGTGTCGCAACGTCTGGAACTGCAATATTGTAATATTGAACTAATAGAATGCGTTTAAACATCTTTACTACAATCTTACAGTATGTGCATGTGCTTCGCACCCGTGACTTTAAAAACATGTAAAGAACCCGGGCGTGTCATTTTATAACCTTCACTTAGGATCGACTCGTGTATCGTCTACTTGGCCATCTGTCCAAGGAATCCACGTGATTTACACTCACAACCATTCTCACGAGTTCATTCCTGCGGTGAATTGTTTTTTTTGAGAAAAACTGTCAAATAACACACACAAAATGATAATGTAGGAACATATTCCATAAGTGAAAAATAATACTTATTCTGAACATTTGTGTAAAAGAAGTTCGTCATTATGAACCGGAGATTATATATTTTGAAACAAATCTTCACAAAAACAAAACATATCCAACAGAGCAGTTCAAAATAAAAATTGTAATTGGACTTGGTCAAAACTATCCCACAGTACTCTAGGAATTGTGATATTGGTCTATGAGAGTGAGCAATTATTCTATTGACATACCTGCAAATAGTTCAGTTTTGTGTATTCATCAAACAACGTCACATGTTACTTGCTACGGTGACGTAATTACAGTTATTGTACACGTGTACAATCCTGTTTGGTATGTTTCATATACTAATACCTGTTTACAATACTGTTGGTAGGTCGAATTAATGACGATGCTCTCATTCTCAGATATAAAACAAGTTGGTTTGGTCGTTAGGATTGGGCCAAATGAAGATTTCACCACAAACACGCAATGTGGGCCAACCATAAACGATAGTATGATTGCTGGTAGAAACAACAACCCTATAGTGCTTGATTGTGATGGGCTTGTTACTGGTCGTTACGTGAGTGTGTCGTTGGAGGGAATAACTAACAAACTATTTCTTGCAGAAGTTGAAATTTTGGGAACAGGTAAGTGAAAACTGTTTTGGACATTTTTAGATATTTTGTCCACAATTCTTTGTTTAATTTTTAACTAAATGGACATATTTTCTTTCATTTAATGATTTGAACGAAATTATTGAAGAAATATGAAGTGAAGTCAGTTCATTTTTGTGAAAGATGACAGTTTATTGCGGCGCTCATAGGGTTAAACATTGTAGACATTTATTGTTGCTGCTTTAATTTGATCGTAATTAATAATAAATACATAAATAAATTACAGGTGTATGTGAATCGGATCCCGGCATTCCCGTTAACTCTGCTCGTGGCAACTCAGTGTTTCCTGTTTTGGTGGGAGGTCCGCCTTTGGTATACACATGCAATATGGGCTATACTATGTATGGAAGGGCTGTAGTTGAGTGTATCGCTGCTTCCAAGTGGACATTCTTGCCTATTTGTACAGGTAATGGTTACGCGTGGCATATCGCTTAGCAACGACTTGATCATGTGTCGGTAGATACGCCATGTTTACTGTATAGCAGTAAAACGCATTTACAATTGTTGCTCTCTCTTTGTTTATATATGCGTATCTTGTAGGGCATATCGCAGTAATGATATGCATGTATTTTAGAGCATATCGCGGTGATGATATGCATATTTTAAAGGAGATATCGCAGTTATACTATGCGTATTTGATAGAGGATATCGCAGTGAACCTATGTGTATTTGATAGAGGGTATCGCAGGGAACCTATGTGTATTTGATAGAGCATATCGCAGTTATACTATGCGTATTTGATAGGGGATATCGCAGTGAACCTATGTGTATTTGATAGATCATATCGCAGTTATACTATGCGTATTTGATAGGGAATATCGCAGTGAACCTATGTGTATTTGGCAAGGCATATCGCAATGACATTATGTGTATTTGATATGGCATACCACAGTGATGCTATGCGTATTTGGTAAGTCATATCGCAGTGATACTCTGCGCATTTAATAGCGAATATCGCAGTGAACCTATGTGTATTTGGTATGGCATATCGCAGTGATACTATGCGTAATTGATATGGGATATCGCAATGAGCCTATGTGTATTTGGCAAGGCATATCGCAGTGATACCATGTGTATTTGATATGGCATATCACAGTGATGCTATGCGTATTTGGTAAGCCATAT